GGAACATCATATTCTTCACTTCCAAGATGACCATTGGAAAAGACCTGAAAGTAAATAAAAAGTTAGCATTATCTATAAGGGGTAAAGAAAAAAGCAGCCCTGCTGTTATTCTTAAGTCCTTCCAAATTGAAGTGCTCTAAATTGTATTTCTCCAGGTTGAAGAGAGCACTCTTAAACTTTCTGATAAAACAGTACATGAATATAATCAGAAATGCCTTTGTTCTTTCATGACTGAAGCTTCTGTGCTAATGATAACTAGAGACCTGTTCTGACTTTCAAAGTGCAGGCAAATTTAAACAAAAATTTCAGTTTGTGAACACACAAACCACCATTTCTAACTTGCTCATATGGGATCATCCAAAGCCAGTGTTCAATTACTTGCAGTAGGAAATTCTAATGTCTAGAGTTCTCTGTTATGCTACAGGAAATGTCTGAAAAGCTGTTCTTTGTTTCTTTTACCATTTGAAATTACAGCAACTTAAAAGGGGGAGGGATATGAAAGGACAACTTTGCAGAAACATATTCACAAGAAAAGACTGAACATATTTTAAGACCTGCAAGCAATCATTAGATTTCTATCATGGAGTTCTTCTGCAAACTCTTATTAATTCATATTTAATAAGCAGACTGATGGTGGGGCTAACTGGACTTGAACAGTGCTTCAGTCAAAGACTTACCAATTACTTTCCCCCATCATCTCTCTAAAATAATGTTGAAGCTTTAGAATACAAAATTAAAAAGACCATATCCTTATCTATCAACTTAAGAAAAGAAATAAGTTTAAAGGACACATCTGAAATGTATCAACATTTGTATTTCAAAGCTACAAAATAAAATTTTGTAGAAGTAAAGTTTCACTCTAGAGACTAGCTCTATGCTTTAGTACCAATTTCTCTTTTTCCATGTTTCCCCGCTCATTAGACTCAATATACTGTAGCCATTCCATGACAAAATAATACCTTTAAATGAAATGATTTTATCTTAGGCCTTTGACTGTGGCCAAATAACAGAAGAAGGCAAAGTGTTTCGAAGTTTACTAGAAAGAAGAAATTTCCCAATAGATAATAATCATTTCAAAGTTTAATAAAATCCTTTAACATAAAAAAAGGCCTTTTAACTGACACATACACATATCAAACCACAAATGTTCATTGTGGTATTGAGCTATGGAAGTCATTCTAAATCGGAGTTCTTTGCATGCTGCTGGAATAGATACAATGTAAGATATCTGCAATCAAATCTCCTTAATTTCTGTCACAAATACATTTAAAACTCATTCTAGAAAATGTAATGTGGATTTCATATTCAATAGTTTGTTATTTTAGGACAAAGCATCCAACATAGATAGATGCTTAATAAAATTTCAGCAGTAATAAAATAAAAGAGAGATATGAAAATAACAATTTGAGTTGTATCGACTCTAATTTAATAATAAACCAACAATAATTTTATAATCAGAACATTGTGAACATATCTTTAAAAATATCAATACACTCAAACATTTATTGCTAGTGAAACTGCTTTCATCTTGCACATTGGGTAAATGAGAATAAATATACTAATAACCAGAGCTTGCACATTTTTATGTACTACTATTAAATTTCATGAAGACAAGTCACACAGGCAATGATGTTTTACCACTAGTAAAACCACAAAGCACAATTAATGAGGTAACTTACTCTTAGAGGGCAATACCTAAGAAAGTTAGGCGACTTGCTCCTAATTTTTTGCAACAATCCATTAATCTGCTTTCAAATGCAAATACAACCTTGTCTAACTGCTTCAGAAATACCGTTTGTTACTGAGGCATGGTAACTAAAGGATTTCTCTGGCCAGTCAAATGCTGTAGTCTTTTCTGAACCATTCATTTGGTGTTTGGCATCTGACAATATTTTGCTTACGTTCTGTTGAGGAGAATTTAGGCCACACTGGGCCCAAAAATTCATTATTCCTTTTCCATTTTATAGCATATAAAATGGAAAGCTTTACATAAAGTAGGGCTTAAATGAATATTGACTGCTGGAGGAGATGAACTTATTAATGAAGTTATTAACTAGTGAAATGACTTTCTTTAGGTTTAGCTGAAAGAAACTCATTTTTACTGAAATACTCTCAGCAAATATATACATATCTATATACGTATAAATAATTTGTTTAATGGCTATTCTTCCATTAACTTGTTCATAAATATTCACCGAGAGTTGACAATACGCCTAATACAAAACATGAAATTCTGTGTAGTTCCTTAGTAGATTGAAATAGCAAAAGACCCAAATATGCAGGTACTTTATAATGTGGTCATGCTTCTGTTCATCTAAAATCGCTGTTTATATTTATCGACAGTGGCTAGAGGACAAGATTCAGAGGACACAATTTAACATTATGTCATTCTGAATTTCATGTTCTCACCTGTAACCATTTCATTACACCAGAATATCATTTTAGCTGTCACTATATAAGTACAATAAATCACAACTTTGGGGACTAAAAATAAATACTTTTTGTTTTCTAGATATCCGACAAATCTAGTTGCAAATGGTAATAAACTACAGTCCCTCAAATGTACAGACTGATAGTATCCACTGAAGCAGTTCACACCGAAACCTCACTGACTCCTCAACTAGGAAACATCTTTTTTGTTCCCTGCATTCTTAGTTCATTGTTCCGAACCTATCACAATTGCATTGGAAATGCTACCAATTAAAATCTAAATTCACAATTGTGATCCTAGCATTCCTCTGCCAGAAAAGAAAACTTTAAATGTTCTTTCTTGACTACCAAATTATGACAACTTAGTGTAGAATTCAAGACACTTCATAATTGGTTTCAACCTACCTTGCTATGGTCTTAACTCACCTGCCTACTCTCTCTATGCTATATGCCATCCAAAACTGACTACATACACTATACATATTTTCCCACCTCCATGCTATTCCTTTCTCCGATACCTACAAAAAACAACAGCTGCCACTTTTTTAACATCTAGCCAGTGACCCTCTTGCATGAAGCTTTCTTTATTCCTTTTTCAGCCATGCATCTTGGAATTTTTCATCTTGGGGATCCCACACACTTTCTGGATGCTTCTCATATGCCTTATGTCCTAATCACATGCCTGTGTCATCCTCACTAACTTTTCTGTGCTTTATTCCTCTTTGTATTCCCCAGAGTGTCTTGAGCATCCTAGGTACTCATATAGCTGAATTAGGTAATGAGGTTGAAGAAATAAGAACGCAATAGTGGAGGTTTAGACTTGTGAAAGAAGTTTAAACTGGCTTGTATAATTTATTAGAAATCTAGGTTATCCTAGATTAGTATTTCTGTAAATGCCTCAAGATATCATCTAATCCTAATCTTCAAGTGTAAAATGTTTTCTTGTGATTCAGATATTGTCTAAAAACTGAAGATTAAAACATTTGGGATCCTTGAGGTACAGAGAAAACAATTTTGTGAAAATCTTAGCACAATTAAGAAAAACTTTTAAAAAAATTATCAAACACAAACCTTTTCCCTATCCTACACATGTAAACCCCTACACATGCTACCTCAAAAGTATTCCTATATTTTGTCCTTCAACAACAGGATAGACATTAAACCAGTATACACAGAGGACTGATTCTCTGAAAGACAGCTCTCAAAATTTATAGATAACTTTAAGGTCATTAATATAAACACGTGCCTCTCCACCAAAAGTACAACAAGCCACAACTGCAAAAAGGGAAATCATTTGATGTATTTATCTTGCAACATCTTCAAAAGATTATAATACATAAGGTCATCTTTAGAACAATGTCACTGTAAGTAACATGACCAGTGAAAGACAGTTTTATCACATAAGAAACAGCAGTATTCCTACTGACTCAAGGGGAAAAAATAATGACAGTTGGGAACAATGTTAATATCTAGAAATAAGTAGACACATTTCAAGTTTCTAGTCATATTTTAATATATTTTGGTAGAATTACTTTTATCAGATGATTAAAACAAACCACCACCAACAATAAATATCTAGCCAACAAGATATTTATTAAGAAACAGCTTTATAAGGTGACTAAAATCTGAGACTTTCAGAGAATGGAAAGAATGCTATAGGATAGAAATCTCTTACCAATAAAATCGGATAAATAAACTTAATAACTCTTAGCTTGTAGATCCACATTTAAAGTAAAGTATTACCTTGGCTAGCTTTTGATTATGCTACGTAGGAGGGGAAGAGTAAAAAGAATTAATGAATGTCACAAAAAATTATTACACTTCATTTTAACTATGAGCTAGAATAATTTTTTCCTCAGAGTTCTCTACAATTGGCAAATGGAGTAATTAGAGTTTAATTTATTACCATTTCCCCTACCATTCATTGTTCTAGTAACAATGCAGACAGAAAAGGCAAATGGTTCTATTGGATGATGGGAACTGAGACACAGACAGAGGAGGCATAATGCAGGGGAGCGAGTCCTCGCCCATCGACAGGGTACTGACTTTTATAAATTCCCTTGCATTCCACATGTATTCTTACTTTTCATTTAAATTTTTAGTACTTATTCACATTTTCTTATCTCTAAAATGGAAACTTGTTATTAAACTTGAAGCTTTGTCTCTAATGAAAACTACTAAACCTAAGTGGCAGTTTTTACTATTTGACCAAAAAAAAAAAAGTGTATTTGCTTACATTAGGGGGCCTGATGGATTATGTGAATAACAGCCTCCAAATATCTAAGTCTCCACACCCTTTATTCCTATGATAAGGTAAGACAAAACAAAATGGCACTATTAAGTATGAAGGGTGAAAATACATTGTTAACACCTGTTTTTATTAAAAATATTAGCCTTTTAAAAAAATCAAAATATCTCCCCTTTCTCTTCATCCACTCTCATTTTCTTATTGTGTATGACGCACATGTTTAAAATGACTACTCTTCTGCAGAGGAAAAAAATCCTACTTTAAACAAGAAAATTACACAAGATACATAAAAACCTGTCCATTTGTAACTCCTTGCATATCATGGCCATCCTCTTCCTCCACCTTTTCTCTCCTGGCCTACAGCTGCCCACACCCAAACCCAAGCACATACACTCTTTCATCTCTCAGTATTACATTACTGGTGCCAAGTAAGTATTATATTATAAGCACTCAGTAATAAGTAACCAAGTTAATAACTTACTGAGTGGTTAACGAAGTTATTAACTTGGTTATTGAGTGCTTACCAAGCATTCATTAGGAACTATGCTAAGAAAAAAAACGGCGTGGAACAAAGAGAAGATGTTTTGGTTTAAAAAACAAACAACTATTTTGGATAAAAATGCCAACTGTTACAACTTATTTTGACACTCTATATCCAGCTGTTATTTTTGTTTTTTTTAAATTCCTGTACAGAAATTTAGATAGTTGGAAGTGAACTATTCTCCTAGATACCAGATATTACTAACATTCCATTTTATATGAAGGAATAAAATAAAGTTTCACTTTATTTATAAGGAAAATAAGTGAGGCTGGGGACAAAGATGAAGTAAGTTGCTCACATACACAAAGCCAGTACATTCTAGAACAGAAAGCGAAATCCAGGTCTGATTTTGGAGCCTGGTTACAAACTCTAACCCAGAATCACAGAAACTGAGAATTACAGGATCCTAAGTAAACATGGCAGTTGTTAGTTGAAGCCAACCTCTTAAGTCTCCCAACAATAAAATGAGAAGAAGAATTAGGCCTTTTATACTTTATGTAAGTTCTGGTATGTCCTATGATCTAATGAAGTGGAACCATTTTTCCTTTATAAAGCTAATAAAAGGGGAGACATGGTCTGTTTTATAGTTTTGTAGCATTCATGCATCAACTATATATAAATTCTTCTTTACAGTTCACTACAGAAGTTAAACAATTAGGTTGAAATCAGAAAGAAGTCTAATTTTGGTTGAAACACCAAATCTAAGAGTAACATGAAATTAACTTGAGGATATTAGCTCTGCAATATGAATACACACAATACATGAGATTAGACCTTAGGGAATATTAATGAGAATTATTTAGAGACAACTAAGTAATATTAAAGTTTAACTTTCAATAAGAGATAACTTTTTTAATCGATGGTCTCTGTAATACTAATGTGTATTAATGATCACAGCATGAAAGTTCACATAGAAATATTTAAAGGAAAGTTTTTATAACAACTCACAATTAATATTTCATACCTGTAGTTAATAAAATAAAAATAGTACCTCATACCAATAACCTAAGAAACTGTCACTCCAATTTTTGAAACTATAACATCTCATAAAAAAATTATCAGCCAGTTTTCTAGGGCTTAGGAGGGCAAATCATAATAGCATTAAAACTATAATATGTTATCTAAAAGAATCGTGAAACAAGATATATTCAATGAAATGGCTGTAACAACTATTATATTTTAAGTATTTTCGAAGTTCATTCAGAAAACATAACATGCTGGTGAGCTATAACTAGTTAATTAGAGCTTCTCCTAACACTCTTCCCAAGACAAATGTGATCACATATGAATAAAAAGTAACAGATTCGAAAGGGAAAAAACCACTAAGAATTAAAAATAAATAAATAAATAGCATGTCCCTCCAGTCAGCATTCTAGAATGTGGAAAAGCTCTTTTGAGGATGACCTCCCCACTGACAGAGATCATTACAAAACTGGGCTTATTAGTGCATTCTCTTATATTTACATTATATTTAGGTGACCCTGAAGAAGCCTTTAGAGATCCTCATATTTATAATAGAAGAGACTGAAGGTATCAAGGTGAGTCACTGGCAAAGTGTCACAGCAAATTGCCACCACTCCTTGCCTTTGTTTTGAATACTGCACTACAGAGTTGTGACTCTTCCTTTCATGGTTACCCCTTATCACTGAGGTTCAATATTGTCATGCAGAGTGTTCATTATCACTGTACCTCCACACACACAGAGGAACTTAGTGCCAGTCACACGTCTTCCTTGTATACTGAATATGTTATTAGACGAACTCACCAACTTCAAACCATTGTTTTGAAGGACTAGGCTACTTTTGTAAAATAACAATTTAAAGTCTACAGAGATGGAATCACTTTAATATTACAGTCTTCAGAAGAGCCAAGGCCTCTGTCAGTAGAGAAAATATGGCAATGATCTAATCTCAGAGCCAAAAGCATCCTGGAAGCAAATACCAGAAATTATTACAGTACATCTCTGCCAAGGAACTACCAAGAATTCTAAAGTAAATGATTTCTGCGGCTGTCTCTTCAGTTCCTTGCACACATAAACTCCTTCCTAGACATATAAATGATAGTGGTAACATCCTTCGAGTGAGAAATCAGCAAGTGTGAGAATCTCTCAGTTTTGGGGGAAAAGAACTTGATTTTTAAGAGTGAACTTGGTTTGGCGTTTTTAAGTAGATAGAAGTTCATTTTACCTGGCTGCCTAGTGCGTACTGTCCCAGGCAACAATAACTAATTCCAGCAACTGATTTAGAACATGTACAGTAACACAACTTTTAAAAATTGGATGGAACTACAAGAGTTTGTTAAAAAAGAAAAAATAGAGTGCTGCTATAGCACCACTAAGTTATTAGAATAAATTTTTGGCAAATGAAATAAGTGAAGGTGAAATAAATCTCAGGCAAATTGTCTAGTGTCTTCACATTAAATTTAAATCATTACTTAGAACCTCCTGACTTCTTTTAAGTTCAAGTTTTAATGAGCTTCTGATTATTTATAACTTGGAGATAATTAAAGACCTGCAGGGAAGTGTGATACTAGGCAAAAAAACCACTTCCCAACCTTAAGCTACCGACCATCAGAAACATTTATAAGCAGATTCTCTAGCTCGAGCTTTGCATATGTCTTACCTTAGCCCCTTCTAAAGGCAAATCATGGCGTCTGTGTTTTCGCATAAGCACTGGGTCAGAGCCCACTCTACTGTGCCTTCCATTTACATTTGAACTTGCTGTGATTCCGGGTTTTGGAGAGCCCTCGCCTAGGAGTCGACATCCCACAAGCTGATTAGTCCCAAACACATCTCGAGGGCACCATGCTTCAAGAGGCATTGGCGGGTCTCTGGAAGGCCCACTTTCCACATGATGGATGTGTCTACTCAGTCTATTGTCTGGTGGGATTGGGGGAGGTCTTTCAGGTGGCGGTGGAGGAGGATCCCTTAAGGGAGGAGGTGGTGCTGGGAGTGGTTTATCTTGTTTTCTCATCATGCAAGGAGAGGACTAAAGAAACAGAAGAGAAAAAAAAAACCCTAAAGTTGTACCATGCATTGAAATGACTTACAAACTAGTGTATTACTGCTTTTATTTTCTAAGCCAAACAAGGAGTTTTATTAGATTGCTGTGCCATCTTTTAGTAAGTTTCTTCTATCACCAGTTAATGAAATTTAAATGAGAATAAAAAACTCATAAATACATTTCATTAGGATTTAAAAGAAGTAGAAATGAGTATATAAATGCAAATGTTAAGTTATAGAAATGATACAGAAACAAATAAAAGATCAAAATTATATGATGATTTTGACATTAAAATAATATGTCAATAATTTATTTGCACATTTCTATGATTTAGGAGAGAGAAGAAATCTATCAAAGTTGTCACTGTGTTGGTTTTTGTAAACAGCAACTTGATTTGTTAACAGTTATAGAATATTAAAAGCGTTATTTTTGTTTTCATCACTGTGATACGGCACAACTGATACGGGGCAAACGTGCTCTGCTTCTTTATCAGTCATTACCAGAACAGTGAAAGATCACCAAGTAACAGAGCAGCACTACATATGGAATTACTTCAATTTTATGAATGCTTACAATATTTTAAAAGATCAGACTGATATCACCGAATTGAATGTATATGCTTTTTATAGCTTTTGGCTTTTATTTACATGGTTCATCTGATGATTGATTTACAGTTTTAATATTAGAACGTGGCAGAGAAAAAAGGAATCTATTGTGTTTACATAATTCTAAATGACATTCTAATTAAGTCTTCATATGATCTTAAAACCAAATTAACTGGTAATACAGGAAAATCAAACACTACTAAAAATACTGCCCTTCTAACAAATTTTAGGCAATACAGGATGTTACCAAATAAAATTAATTTTTAAAATCTTATACTTATCAAATTTGAAGGAAAAAATCCACGCAATAAAATAAACTGTAGGCTTAACTGTAGAGTAAGAGTTATGTCTTTAATATTAAACAGTAATATAATTACTTTGCAAATACTGCAATTCATTGCAATTAATTTCCCCAGGTGTAAAAAGTACATATAATTCCCTCTTCTGAATCACCTTGAAACAAGGGTGATAATTTATCACACCTTAAGCCCTTATGTAAATATACTCCCATGACATTTTTCTTGTCATGGCACTATAAAAACGAGCATAAAATATCATTTGATAACAGCATGCAAATTACTGTAATGCATATAATCACCTTTTAAATCTATCTTACAAAATAACTATACTTACTCTGCTACTTATTTTGGCAAATCATGGAGCTACAGACATATGCTTTCTCTCTGCAAAAATTTTGTGTAACTTTTATAATAATAAAACAGAAAATATGAATGTGGGCTCACCATAAACTAAATGAGAAACCCACCAAATTTATTCAAAAACAATTAAAAGCACAAAAAACCTGAGTAATGGAATTTAAAAGAATCTGAGCAATCAATAATTGTCTTGTACATTTTTTATCTGTTTGTAATAAACTTGATCTACCTTTGGTGAACCAGTTGGGCTGCCACAGGGAGATCTAACTATGCCTTTCTGAATCAGATCCAGGCGAGGAGGCACCGGTGGCAGGCTTAGATGTGGGATCTGGAGTGGGTCAGGCTGTGGCTTTCTTCTCTGGGCAAGGGGAGAGGATCCTGGTGATGTGACTGGTGAGTTCTGCCTGTCAGTGCACTAGAATAGAAAAAAAGAAAGATAGCACTGTTTATTAGAGTGCAGAGCACTCTCAGTTCTTAAAGAATACATCTGGTTGGAAGAAGGTTTCTGTACATTTGTTAAAATGAATTCCCCTAGTTTACCCTTATTAATAGAAGCAAATAGTTCACATTGTCCTCAAGCTAGTATTATGAAAAGAACAGATAAGTTTCTCCTATATATTACAGAAAGAGCCTAAAAAAAAAAGAACAGCACAAGTATACTATAAAGACAACCAAATGCAGACATTCTTCAAGAAACCCATCTATATTTTATGAGGAAGCCAGAAACACATAATGCAGTAATACACATTGCTCTTGGTTCTCTGTATTATAAATTTTTTTGCTCAAGCTTTGTACGTTCTAATACTTAGCTACTGCTTTGTTCCAGATAAAACATGTATCTTGTACATAGTCTATTTTTCTGCAAACCAATTAAATCAGGTGGGATTTTAAAAAAATAATTGTATGTTTAAAATAAACAGGTTTAAGCCCATTGTTTTTTTCCCCTTAATCCTTTGCAAGGAAAAGAAATTCTCAAGTTAAACATTTTTCTGGAAAAACAATGACCTATATCTACGAAAGTCTGTTTGTACTTCTGCCAAAAACTGATTAAGTTTCTGTTACTACAAGTTTTCCATATTGTCTAGTAGATAAAGTAGCATCAAAAAGCCAGTAAGTACTTCAATTTGAACAGAACACCTCCTATTGCATAAGGTTTGTTTGTGTGTGTGTGTGTCTATGTGTTTTAACGCAACATAACCTGATTTCTATTTGTTACAAAAACCATATAGTTAATCAAATAGCGTTAATAGAATAAACAATATTACGTTCTAAAAATACTGGGCAGTTTCCTTTTCAGGTCTGAGTTACTAGCTCTTCGAAGATTTAGGCTTGATTTCTACACTATTGATCATGTTTTGATATTATTCTGTTTCTGAATGTTAGTATTTATAGAGTTTTAAACTTATTTCTAAGCCATTTTCCCCCAACATTACTCACCTTTGTAAGAATAGCTGATGTCATCACTTGACAATTTAATATGAACTCAGCAGCTTTATCATTTAGTCTGCCTTTAACTGAGGTAACAATTTTGTGTTCACATTCACACTTGGTTACATTGTGTAAGGCTTTTTTCTTAATTAACTAAAATTCATACTGTATTCAGATTTTCTTAGTTCATACCCAATGTCTTTTTTCTTTTCCAGGATCTCATGCAGGACATTATATTAGTGTTCATTATAACATCTCCCCACTTTCCTTTCGGCTCTTTCTCGGACATCCATTGTTTTTTGATGACTTTGACAGTTTTGTAGAGTACTGGTTAGAGATTATACAGAATGTTCCTTTACTGGGATTTGTCTGATTTTTAAAAATAATTAGCCTGGGGTTGAAAGTTTTGAGGAGTAGAACCATGGAAGTAAAGTATCATTCTGACCACATCATATCAAGCATCCATGTTATCAACATGATTCCCCATTGCTGTTGTTGACCTTAATTACCTGCCTGTAGTATTGTTTATCATACTTCTTCACCATTACGTTTCTTTCTTTTCTCTCCTCCCTCCCATAGTACACTCTTTGCAAGGAAGTCACTGCACAGCTCACATTTATAGAGTTGGAAATTTATGCATCCCTTCATAAAGACTTTTTAAAATAAATCTGAGGCCAGCCCTGGTGGCTGATGCCTGTAATCCCAGCACTTTGGGAGGCCAAGGCAGGAGGACTGCTTGAAGCCAGGAATTGGAGACTATTCTGCACACCATAGAAAGACCTCCTCCTCACTATTTTTTTTCTTTTTTTTAATTAGAAGGGTGTGGTAGTGTACTGCTCCAGTCCCACTACTCAAGAGGCTGAGGCAGGAGGATTCCTTGAGCCCAGGAGTTTGAGTTTACAGTAAGCTATGATTATACTACTGAACTCCAGCCTGGGCAACACAGCAAGATCCTGTCTCTAAAAAATAATGAAATAAATAAATTGGAGTGGCTAAACAGAAGACTCTATTCAGATACTCCTAAACATTGTCATGACATTATTAAACTGTAAAGTCTTTGTCTCTGTTGGTGCCAAATAACAAAATCATTCAACATAATTTTACACTACAATTTTAAGGACCATTTCTTTTTAGAAATTAATGATTTTTTCCCATATCTTTCAGCTTGGTTGTTAAGTTAAAAAATTCAATTGTCACTGAAGAAAAAAATAAATAATTTCTATAGTCAGAAACTGACTTTTAGTACAGGCAGTGATTTTTAACAAAGGAATAGTTCTACATAGCTAGTCACAGGGTCTCATATGGTGATAAATTTGAACTTTCTGGAGCAAAACTAACCCTAAAGTCATCACAGATCAGAAAAAATTCCTGATGTAAAGCTATTTGCATCACAGAATCTTGACACTGTAGATCAGGAATTGTCACAGGACATCCAGCTCTCCACCATTCCTATTAGGATAAATTATATTCTCTGAGAACTAGAAAAGCCGTTACCTGATAAAAATGCTTTGTTGATATGGCTACTATCCTTTACAAAGAAGAATCAAGAAGCAAAGCTATCAATACTGTTTCTAGCCCAAACAATATATTTTTTACATATAAAAAGAATGCATAGTTCTTTAGTTATTTGCAAAGATATTTTTCAGGGCTATCAGATACACATACTGCAAAGATTGCTGAATGAGACCTGTGCTCCTCCAAGCATTTTGCTTCCGGAAATACTTTCCCACTTCTCTCATTACCTAAAACAGGACACAGAATTGTGATAGAGCCAATAGCCCATCATAGTATTAGAACTTGACTTTCACCCTAGATTGGATTAATTATTAATATTATCCAGTTACTAAATTTCTAGCATGTTTAAATAATGGGCTAAACTTGATTTGAAATGGGTTGAAGCACCTGTTAGATACTGAAAGAGTATAATGAAAATCCTCAGAACAGACATCCAAACCAATGTGTGTAGCAAAGTAACAACCTTGAACTTGTAGATACTTCCAGACAAGCAGACTCTGCAGTTTTGTGAATGTAACTGGAAGCATACTTTGCTTAGCGAAATTCATATTTTGTTCTGAAGGTGATTATGCACTGTCCTTTTGAAGAATTAATTAATTTTGAAGCACTACAGTATCTGCAAGTTGACTTACTTAGAAGGATTTTATGGAGAGTATGTGAAGGAGCAAAAAGTGTTTCATCTTTATTGATTATATGTACTAAATTCACCAAACCTCATTTTCCTGAGTTCTCCTAAATTAGAGTAATATTCCCATGCAAGAGTAGATAATTTAACAATCTCTTCTGATAGTAATGCATTATTCTTTGCTGAAACTTTTACTATTTTTAAAAACAATTATGCAATTAGGGTACTGAAGCTTTCCATTATCTTTCATTGCTGGTAAAATTCAAACACTATGAAGATTTGTAAACATTTTTAATAGGTAATATTCACATTAAAGGTCACTTTTAATTTATGTGAGTCATCATAAATTGTATTTTTCTTTCCCTCCTATTTGAAAGTCTAAGAAAAAAAGGAAATCTAGCACAATGTGGCATAATCCAGTTCATAATTAATTTTTTGGATGAGATATTAAAAATTCAGAACATCAAAGTTTATCAGTTCACTTTGAAGAATAAAAAGCCTGCTCCTTTTTCTCCTTCTGAAAATAAAATAAACCAAAGTAGATCAATTCAATGTAGACCGAAATTATTTCTCCTTTAAAAGACAATGCTGTCTTTACATAATATCCACATTTTTAATTTTTATTTTTGCATTTTAAAAGACTTTCAATTCTAGAGTAACAGGCTTTTCCCCTGTACAGGTAGTCATCAGGCAGTTCAAACAGCTCTATAGCTAGGACCTGAATGTGGCAATTCACCTTTAGTCTACCAGTTTATATTATCCCCTAAATTGACTCCATCAGTCATTTCCTCCACCCTTTTCTGGGCCTTCTTCTGCAGTTCTAATCTCCAGCTCCAATTACCCAGGCCGTTTATCTTTCTCTACATATGATAGGTGATAAAGGGAACTGTTGGGGCAAAACAATAACAACAAACAAACACAGAAGCAATCCCCAGGCTCAGGTTTAAATTCTAAGACAATGAACTGTGCCAATTTGATTATTACTTATTGATTCACCCAGTTCCTCTTAATCACTACTACTTCCATTCTGTATAAAAATGCAGACCAAATATATTAAGTATAAAACATCTTGGGTAGAAGAATAGGAAAGGATTCATTTAAATTCTGAATAATAATAGTATTTTGTTCATAGAAATACTCTTGATTAGAAAATGTAAATTTCAATTATGGCCATCTAACTTAAGCTCTAATGCCAACTGGTCATAAAGAACAATATTTTGTTTTTTCATTTGATTAATCATATAAATAAATGTATAACCTGATTTCAAACCATAGATATCATATATTTAAATTTCCTACAAATTTCTTACATTCAAATTTCAGTTATAACATAAAGATGCTATGCAGTCTTGAAAATGCTACCACCTACTGATGCTGTCATCTGTAGATTAAAACACAAAATTAATCCATTTGACAGGAATGTTATGGGTTAATAGAATTAAATAATGCATTATACAATAAATGCTGATGTAAAACATTTATAAACATCATGTCAAATAAATGCTGATGTAATTTAATTTTTATTTTGATGAAATGATTAGGAAAATGGATTATTTTGATGTAAATGGCACAGAATGTACTCTATTATCTCCAAATATCTAGTCAAAGCTTGTTCATCTTTACTGCCTAAAAATAATTCCATTAAAGTTATTTCTAAACAAAATGCCCACCCTTGTTATTTCTTATTTTGTCCCAAACAATTCCTTCTACTATCATGTCTAAACAATGCAATAGTAACAAAATCAAATATCTAACCAAATAATTAAATTAATTACAAATGCATTCAAAACTCAAATAGAAATGCCTCTTGGATTATTTGCTATTATTAGCACTATCCATTAAAAAAATGTAGAATTGAATTTAACATGATTAATTCTTTCTTCTTAAACTAGAAAGGGTCTTAAACACAAAAACAAATGAGAAAAGTAGTTTAAAAATTGGATTAGGCTTGTAAGTTTAGGGGTATGCATGTTGTCAAACTGTTTGCCATAAAAAATACATTTTACTGGTTTTGGCACTCTTCTCCTTGTATCTTTTCCATTTTCTGTTTATTTTACTTTTTCTCTCTTCATTATAAAGAACATAATTTCACTATAGGAAATTTTGGAGTTACAGGGAAACATAAAGACATTTTAGAGAACACCTACATATAGCTATTGATGGTTCCTAATCACATACACAGTGATAAGTCTACTCAATGTTTCTTAGCATTAAACACACAAAAATGTAGCTGACATTAAATATTCTTTATGAACATAATTTTAAAGTGCATATATGGATATATCAGCATTTACAAAACTATTCCTGTGCAATGAACACTTAGGTATGTTTTCAGGTTTCTTTATTACAAAGTAGTATCATAAAGAAATCTTTAACATATATATGCTAGTTTTTAAGGAAAGAATCATAGAATTGTTTTGAGCACTAGATACTAGACATGTAACTGTGTCGAATTTATGAACATTGTAAAGACTTTTTTGCTGTCCAGATGGTAAAACCAATTTATTCTCTCACCAGCCATGTATGATAATTACCATCACACAAAAAATAGAGGCAAAAAATATCTGTGTTTGCTTTGATGCTTGTCATTTCAGTGGCCCATACCAATGTTTAAATTTGCCCTTCCTTCTTTGACAAATAATTTGAAAAAAAATTGCAATATTTGTTGGACTTGTATATTTCTTCTTTGGGTCACTAGCTTTTTATGGTGTTTTGTCCCCATATCCACTCATTTCCTCTCTGTTGATGTGAAAGCGCTCTTTATATACAAGGATAGTGCACCTCTTTCTATCTGTTATAATTGTTGTCACTATTTTTTCTGCAGTTTAATTTTTCTGATTTTTATATGGTACAGATTTCACCTGCGTTCTTCTGGTTTTCATGTGTTAATGAACGACTCAAGTATCATGTTCGTTTTGGTACTGCCTAAATGAGTTCCTTTCTCTGTCACTCCTTCATGTGGATATCACCACTCTTAAAGAAATATAAAAAAGGTAAAAAATTAGGTCATAAAGCATAGAAAATAGAATGTGAACACAGAATTAACTGTACAGAATTTATACACAATATTCGAAATATTTATGTAGAGGTTAACTGCAAAAATTGGGAAAGACGGAAACATCCCTTCAAGTTACAAGATACTGATTAGTATCATTTCATTTCTTTATCTTGATTTTAGGTGATTCTCACATTTTTCTAGTATTATACTTATTTCTAAAACTTTAAAATAAATTCTGTTTCAGCCTCTTTCCAAATACAAAGGGTGAGCCAGCCTTGATTCCTTCCTGTATTATCACAACAGTGCATATGTCTAACTAACAATTTCTCTTAAAGTCTTTAATCCTGGTAACAGATGAGAACATCTTTTACAAACTAGAATCCTGGTGTTCTAGAAATTTAAAGGCCACACTGGATTCTTTTAAGTCTATATGCTTACCCTTTGCCTCTGGAAATGAATAAACACTATTATTTATTTCTCTGACAAAATGCACAGGATCCTTTATAAGTACCTTGAGGAACAGATAAATCCACGTTTGCAATCTTAACGGAAAATCCTGACAGAAAGAATTTAAGATGTAAAGTAGTCAAAGCCCATCTCATTATGTTCAGTTATTACCAATAATAATCAGGCACTCATTCTATTTTAGTCACTCTTCATTTTATCCACACCTTTAAAGGGTCATTTTATAAAAACGTTAATAAGATTCATTATTATGGAAGTGGCAAAACATTTGGTAAGGAACTTCAAGCACAGTCAGGCTTATTATAAAAACAGGACAAGAGAAAATCTCTCCAATTACTAATAAGATGAGAGTTCTGACAGTCCCAGAGATAATCAAAGTCAGTTTTATAATACTTTTAACATGATTTTTACTCAATGAATTTCTATATCTGAACAAGGTATATACATGAATAATAAGGATGATGAGTAGGACTCTGAGAGTCCATGTTTTTCTACAAATGCGTGAAAATTAATAAAGGACATTGCTAAAACTTTTATCACATGATAAAATATTCTAAGTATATTTTACTTGCTACTATTCTCTTGATTCTTTTCTTTTCACCTTATTTTGTGAACAAAACAAAAATCAAAAGTACTTAAAATAGCAGTCTATACAGAATATTATTCAGAGAGGGTATATACTACAAAAATGCTTACACACCCACTCACATATTCATATGAAATTAAAGCTTAAGTATAACTGACTTCTGTTATCTATTTTGGAGTCCCTCCACAGATAATAAACAAAAGCTTATATGAAGAATGTTGTGTAAGAGCAATACAATTATTTCGTGCTTATCCATGATCATACTTCCAGAAGTCTCAACCTGTAAGAACTCAGGAAGAAACCCAGAATGATACAGGAAAGTCCTTTGAAGTAGGAGAAACTTTTTTTTTTTTTTCACTTCTTCCTACAGAAACAGAATGTAGGTACCCTGTTACCTACCTAAGAATATGGACATTTGATTGGTATGTAAAATGAAGTTCACTAATTCAAAGGTTGAATTACTGTCTATGTTCCACTAGTAACTTATGGAAATTTTCAGATAATACAAATTAGAAGCAATAAAGAAGTGAAGGAAAACAGAAACCTTTATACTAAGAAACAAGGATTAGAATAAGATCTGATTTCTCCTAGAGGTCTGGCAGGGAGGTGGTCAACTAGGCACTCCTTTAAAGTCGTACAGTCTCACACTCGGGGATAACCCCAAGGGTACTGCTCTACTGAAATATTAAACACTGTTAACACAAGTGATGATACTGCTTCTCCTTGAAGTACCCTCTTAGGAGAGGGAGTTGACCTCCTGGCCTATGATCAGCCTCCATAATCTTGAAATTTCTTTAAAGTTTCCTATTTTATTTTAAACATTTCTACAAATTTTATATCCTGATCCAAATATATGTGTGACTTTAATTTAAATTTACGGTTCTCTTCTCTTTATGTGACCTACTCTTAAATCTCATAGCAAAATGTACGCTTCTAGAAATGTGTCATGTTGACTGTAGTGGCTTCTTATGCCCTTTGGTTCACTCAGCTGCATAACCAATTTTGAGAAGGCAGGGAAGGGTGACATATAATTCAGAAATATTTCCATAAAAATGGCTAAGAAACAAGAACATTCTGAGAATTAAAGGAATAAATTTCAGTCACTGAAAAAATGCTTTCATGTGAAACCCTTATTGCTCCCCGAATGCCAGCTAAAGCTGGTTTGAACAAGCAATTGCTTTGGTTACTGTAGTTCTTCACCCTACTTTAGATAACACTTAATCATTTCAATTTACTTATACAGAAAATAAGAACACTGCAACTCTATCTAAATTATTTAATCCTTAAAATAGTATTTCAGCTGACATGTTGACAAGTTTGCATTTTCTATGAGTTTCAAACGTGAAATGTATTTTAACAGTAAATTATTTTAAGGTGGTCATGCAATGAAATAACTATGTAGATGTTATTATGTTAAAGAAATACAACCAATTGCTTGGTAACCAATAGAATTGTGGCATCTAATTCTTCCTAATAGAATGACAGATATCAATATCTAAAGGAAAAACTTCCATAGACATCTCAAAAATACTGATACTTAATTGTGAGAAGTAGAGCAATATTTCAGGAGTCTTAACACTAGTATTAAAAAATGTGGCCACGTATGGTGGCTCACACCTGTAATCCTGGCACTTTGGGAGGCCAAGGTAGAAAGATCACTTGAGGTCAGGAGTTCAAGACCATGCTGGGCATTACAGTGAGACCCCCATCTCTATTAATTTACTTTAAAAATAATATTAGTAACAACTAATACTTAGCATTTACCATCACTGTTCTAATGGCTTTTTATATATATATGAACTCACTTAAAGAGGCAGTTTTACGGACTAAGTACTTGAGAGGAGGGGAGTGGGTGGGGATATTAAATAAAGCAAGGCACATAGATACTACGTAGGAAAACTAGAAGATGAGCCCAGGCAGTATCACTCCAAGAGGGCTGCTTTACTTAAGAACGTAACAATTAAGAACGGTGTCACCATTGATCATTTAAATAAAAAAATTAAAAAAATAAAACTACCTTCTCAGGGGCCTACTGTGTGTCAAGCACTATGCAAAGCTCTAAGAATGCAAATAAAATAAATAAATAAATAAATAAATAAGGCATAGCCTGCGCCCTCAAGGAGCTGACAATCTAGCAGAGGCAGTGGACTAAAAACTGGGTACAAGATTTCAAATGTGGCTTCTTCTAATATACTATGTACTGAAGTTATTTTTGAGACATACGTAACAACATCTTTAATACTGACATCATTTGGATGAGGCAGTTGTTTCTTTTGTTAACCACATGCTAATAAAGAAAATACCACTATTTTGCATGAAGAACTTTTAGAAAATCAGTAAACAGAAAGCAAGTAAAAGACAACAAACCTTGCCTTTGGATTCCTTACTGTCACTCATGACCCTACTTAAATATTGTGGGAAGGGAATGGTGAGGACTAGACTTATTAGTACTACAGTCAGAATAATCCTTCTTGGGTAGGACCCCTCATGAGTTGAAAGACGTTTAGTATCTCTGACCCTTCCCACTCAATGCCTGCAGTATTTACCATCCTTTAGTCATTGAGAAAACAAAAATGTCCCTATACATTACTGAATATCCTCAAGAGGTAAAATTGCCTATAGTTGAGAACCATGTTCTACATTTCAAATGTCTACTTTTATTTTTGTATTTCGCTTCTGTTGTAATTTTTGTCTTTACTGCTCCAACATGGACTCTACTCCTGTGATTCAGATTTAAACAGAAAACATAAATAAGTAACACCCTCCTAAAAATAGCTGCAAAAACACTGATATGTACACATAAGCCTCTCCTTAGAATCAGGAATACTATGGAGCATCAGTCCCTAACCTTTTGGTACCAGGTACTGGCTTCATAGAAGACAATTTTTCCATGAACAGTGGCAGGGAGGGGAAGGGAATGGTTTTGGGATGATTCAGTCGTGTTACATTTATTGTGCACATTATTTCTGTTATTGTTACATTGTAATATATAATGGAATAATTACATGCTTCATCATAATTTAGAATCAGTGGGAGCCCTGAGCTTATTTTCCTTCAACTGGACAGTCCCATCTAGGGGTGATGGGAGACAGGGACAGATCATCAGGCATTATATTTTCCTAAGGAGCGCACAGCCTAGATCCCTCCCATGTGCAGTTCAAAATAGGGTTCATACTCCTATGAGAATCCACTGCCATTGCTGATGTGAGAGGAAGCAGAGCTCAGGCGGTAATGCGAGCTATGGGGAGTGGCTGTAAATACAGGTGAAGCTTTGCTCACTAGCCTGTTGCTCACTTCCTGCTGTGCGGCCCGGTTCCTAACAGGCCACAGACTGGTACTGGTCCAGGGCCTGGGATTTGGGGACCCCTGCTATAGATGCTTTCTTCATATCAGAAAAAGCAATACTTAGATGACATGCTAGATTTTTAATTAGCAATATCTATTTTAATTAAAGAAGGCCATAAAGAAGAATGCATAACAAAGATAGAAGAATAACTCCCTTGACTTCTGGTCATACCCATTTTTGTTCTAATATGGCCCTTCATTAAGATTTTAAATATTATTTTAAGGAAATATAATGTGTAAGACCATAAGAACTAATCTGGGCTCATTTACTAGTTCAGTCTGTCAACATTTTAATTTTATATGCAAATATTTATTTATTTCAAATGTAAATGTCATATACTTGGTGGTTAATATTGTTAAAAACTGTTAAGATTCCTCTTAATTCTCTGGCAAAATGAAGCAAATCTCTGGGTGGCAACAGATACTCTTTTTTAGCTCTGATCTGACTGAAGTCAGAGAGAAGGTTGTGATCTTACCAATCACATCCTGGACTTTCTCCTAGGGCTCACATCAGATCTAATCATCCTAGGATTTTGGCAGCTTGAAAACTCAAGCAATGATACAGATTCAGGCAAAATCTAGAACATATTGTAGTTATAATCATAAAATACTTTCTATCAAGGAGGGAATCAAAAAGTATGTGTTAGACTTTTAGGTTCTATTTGCTTCTATAATGATTGGCATTACTAAACACATTTAACTATAAAAGAAATAATAGAAATACACTATATGTTAGGTATGCTACTATTTATAAACGCCAGCTGTGGATATCACCATGGTAACAGGAATATAAAATCAAAGCAGTGTTCCATGTTACAATGGAAGCATTATTCATTTAAATAATCTAATATGCTTAAGACAGGCAGAAACAATTTCATAATATTATCATCAGCCCACTCATAAAAGAAGAAAAAGATCAGATGAGTATTCAAAATGGCAGATAGAAACAATGGAATCATTCTGTTGGACAATCATTGGCAGTCACTCTTTTAACTGAGAGAATAAAATGTTTCAAAAATAAATGAGTAAGGGCAGTCATGGTGGCTCATGCCTGTAGTCCTAGCACTTTGGGAGGCAGTGGCAGCTGCATTACTTGAGGTCAGGAGTTTGAGACCAGCCTGGTCAACATGGTGAAACACTGTCTCTACTAAAAATACAAAAATTAGCCAGGCATGGTGGCAGACATCTGTATTTCTAGCTACTTAGGAGGCTGAGGTAAAAATTCACTTGAATCCAGGAGGCAGAGGTTGCGGTGAACCAAGATGGTGCCACTGCACTCTAGCCTGGGAAACAGAGCAAGGCTCCAGCTCTATACTAATTAATTAATTAGTTAATTTAAAAATAAATGAATGAGTAAATGAATGAAAATGCATGAATCAATGACAAAGAATGATTTAAAAAACAGAGGAAGGACATTCAGGTAGAAGAACTCTATGTCAAAATGACCATGTGATATTTGTTTATAACCACTCCTGTAAGAAAAAACTGGATAAAATCTATCAGTTTCACGTTTTGTGTATATATATATTTAGTATTCAGGTTGGAACAAAGTAAAAAATATGCATAAGATTAGATCATTGGCCTAAAGGAATATATGTGCAGGCGTGTGCATTTATTAGTTCACTTAGCAACTATTTACTGACTGTATTTAGGTGCCGGGGAACACAAACACAAGGCATTGACCTTGGCCTTAAGAGTTAACAGTCTAGTAGAAAAGATAGTCATTTAAATAAAATATAACTTTAGTGTAACTCTTGATATAGAGAAGTATATATAAAGCACTATAAGAACATAATGTCATAGCAATAT